TGGTTTTACGGCGCTTGCAACTACATAAGGTCATATTATGAGCGCCTAGTGGTGTGTGGTGTAAGCGCACCTTTGGACATGTAGAGTGAACGCACCTTTAGAATAGTCATTGTGACGTAGGCCTAACGGACACCTCACGAGACAGACTCCTCACGTGACTTCGGGCACGGCGCGAAGAAACAAACTACCACTCACTAGGTGGAGCCGAGAGAAGTAACATCGGCAAATCGAGATCGTCTACAGACTTCAACATAAGTTAAGGACCACTTGCAAACACTCTGAGTGGTCTTATTGGGTCAACCTGCACGTAGGCGTTCTTTGGTGGATCCAGTAGCTTGATGACGCTGCCTCAAGCGGACAATGACAGAGTGTGACACTGCAAGCCTTGTGGTAACTTCTTGGGCTCCAACTCCATCCTGCTACCATGCCATAGCATGATAGCTCGGGCTCGATCAGTCTCTCAGCTTTCGTCTTGGTGGCACACTGATATGATACTGGATTTTGCGCAAACGGGGGCTTATATTGCGTTTTTTCGCGTAATTCTGCAACATTTGCATAATTTTGGATTCCCTGCCTTTTTCTCCCTTTTTTTCTCTCCCACAAAACAATTAATTAACGCCTCGCCTTGTGGCTAAAGGGAAGTAATCACCGTAATAAGTCTCGTTTAAGTGAAAAGTTTGTTATTTCCCTTGTTAGATGATCTTGGTAAAAGGTTGGGATTTTATTTCTTGAGAATGTTCGATTTTTCAATCAATCAAAAGTTGTTGTTTTCATGTCTGCTGAAGTTTCATGTTTGACAGGTGTCCCTGGTTTTAGTCATGTGCCAGCATCAGAGGTCCAGACATTTTTCTTTCCTCTATAGATTTAGAGTCTAGATCTCACAGCTGAAAGTTACAGAGATTATATTTTTGGTTGTTTTTTTTATTACTGAAGTGTATTGTTTTCTTTCCAAATACACAACTAATTACATGTACTGATACTGATATGTTCTGTTTTCAATTTTTCTGTACATAAAACAAGAAAATTTGTCTTGAAAAAGTGCAAAAACATGCAGCAAAATGTGTTACGGTAACTTGCATAATTTTTGCTTAATTTTGCTTTTTTTGTGCATAATTTGGCAATCTAAATTTGCATAATTCTACGGAGACAGATATTGCCACCATAGTGAGCAGTGTTCGAGACCATACGTCCGATTATGACGTGCACCACAAATTTTAACTGAGGGATGTCCATGGAGTTGCACACAAATCGATAAAAAAAAAAAAGCAAATATGGCTAAAATTCCGGGAAGATTTCTGTGCCGCACGTGGTGGTTTTGCCGCCTTAGGAAGCTTTGCAATACGCATTGGTAACTGATTAAGACTTTCAAAGCAAAACATTTTACAACATTCCTTGCGATCTTTTTTTTCGGATTTTAACAAAATCAGGGCTGTTTGTCAATGGTCCTTAACTTGTGTTGAAGTCTGTAGAACACCAGTAGGTGGGGCCCACCAACATCTCCAAGTTCTAGATCTACTACTCCAAGACTCAAGACTCAAGAAGTAAGTCATAACAGGGTGGATGTCAACAGAGAAGTACAAACGGGGAATCAGGCTTACTCTGCTCACCTCTCTAGCCTCAACAGCACAAAATCTGCTTTGACTATCAAGGGACCCTGAAAATAGCAGTTCACAAGAGAGTGACAAATATACAAAAGAAGTAGAGGGAAAATGACGAAAGTAAGGATGAGGAAAGAAAAAGCAGCAGTTTCTCCTCTATTGTTCCGGCACAGTATGAGCATGACAACGATAAATCAGCCTATTTACAATTCCACTGTGCATAAGAACACGTTAGTTCAGTTTTATGGCACTTGCAACACAATAAGGTCATATAAGTGCCGAAGATTAGAGGTGTTACAAGAGAGTAACAAACATAAAACAGGAGGAGAAGAGATAAAGATGATAGTTGTTTGATAAGAAAGAAGGAGCAAACCACACCAGAGCACCCCCCAACCGCCCACAAGAACATGTTAATATTCCTCCTATGGGAATGGCCCAAAGACACTTCAGTCAGCCCAAACAGTTTGTTTAAGTAAAAACAGAAACACACTGACACAAGAACAGTCATTCAATGCAGGGAGAGAAAAAGGCTGACAGACAGTAAGGAAAGGAATGAAGTAGGAGTAGGCCCACCAGTGGTGCCCTTCAAACACTCGCAAGAAAGCACTTCCCAAATTTTTGCTTGTCTTTACAGATTCATATAAGAGAAAGCAGAACAGAAAAATCTGTGTGACAAGCGAAGTAAACTGCATCTTTAAGCGCAGTCGAATGATCGTAACGTGTGTCCTCAGTGGTTAAAATAAAAATATGCAGTTGACTCACATAAAATCACTAAACAGTGAAAGAAGCAATTTAAAAAAAAATAAACAGACGACAAAATTTGTTTTTTCAATTATTTTAAAAGATGTTTCAATTAGAAAGCAGCTGACTCAAGCAAAATCTCGTCATAGTCCAA